TTGCCAACCCACCCACCCACCCACCCACCCACCCACCCACCCACCCACCCACCCACCCACCCACCCACCCACCAACGAAACTCTACAGATTGGAAGATGCCGACCGAAGCCGTTGCCTCGTCTTTGAACATTTGGTCCAAGACGTTGGCCTAAAGGATCCGAGTCAAAGCAAACACGGAGCAGAGGATTAGCGAGAGAGCGGCAATAGGCCGGGCGACCGGGAAGAAAAGGACCTGGCCAGGCGCGGTGCTGCACGTTTCACGTGTCGCTTTACTCTCTGGCCTGTAAGACCTGAACCAATGGCACCAGCGCAGATGCGATGGCAAACTGGTTCGGGCCGGTGAAGACCTGGGGTCTCAGGCTCAGGAGCGCCTTCCCGAGAGAAAAGGGGGGGCCGCTCTCCCTCACCCTCATCTCGGATGCGGGCTGCCGAAGGCAGGATCTCCCCGCAAATAAGGACGACCTGTGACAAACAAATCGCTTCCCGAAAGGAGCTTTTCACGCTTTCTGAGGCCACGGACGCTCACGGACAGCAAGACTGCAGCCCAGGAAGGCAGGAGCCTCAGGCGAGGGAGGACTCTGGCGTTTGCACAGAATTCCGGTCGTTGCCAGGACACCTGTCCAAGAAGACCGGCAGAGCCTCGCCCAAGCCATCTGAACCCATGCAGCTCGGGCTCCGAGAGACACACAGCGGACCTCGTTGGCCACGGTGTTGAAGAGGAGCAGCGTGACCAGAAGCAGGTGGTGCTCACGGACCTCTCTCTCTCTCCCTCTCTCTCTTCTTCAACCCATCGCAGGTCCTACCCATATCTGGACTGCCAGAGGCCCAGTCCAGGGGAAGGATGCGCACGGCGTAGTCCTGGCTGTGGCGGAGACTACACAGAGCGATAAGTGTCACCGAGCAAGCCGAAAGATAATGACCCAGATTGTGCGACAGATGCACAGCAGGGTTGATGGTACAAACCCTCCAGTTGTCCCATCAAGCCCTATAAACCCTCTAAGTCCCCACCCCAAAACCGTGTCGGATGCCACTTACACTTCAAGGATGAATCGTGCACACACACAACGTGCGGGCGAATGTTCGAGAAGCAAAAGAAGGATGCGATTCCTAGAAGCAATTTTAACAAGTTGTATGTCAGAGCTCCAACCTGCGAGGGCAAAGTACTGCGCACGAAAACAACTGAGATGCTCGGCTGGCATGAAAAAATCACATCTTAGCCGGTTGTATTGTAGAAGTTGGTCCTGGACTCCGTTTCGACCGCTCTGTTCCCTTCGTTTCTCCGCTTTTCGGGCTAATCGTGCTCTGGAAATGCCAGGCTTGGACAGGACACGTGTGGAGAAAGCAAAGCGCCCAGGAAAAGCTGCATTGGAGCAAAGTGCAGTGGCGCGGTAAAGCCTCCTGCAAGCAGATGAACCGTCCGGCGATCATCCCAGATGTCGTTGTGTTCCAGCCGGTGCAGGAGGGTATCGCGATCCGGCTGCTCGGATCCGGTTGTGTGAAAGATGGATCTCGAAAAGGGGGTCTGTGCGCCGTTGCAATGCTTTGGGCTAGAAGCCCTGCAACGCGGCAGCTCAGACGAGTAGAATTTCACCGTTCCCATCACAAAGGTGGCCTCCACCTCTCGGAGGAAGACACTTATGGCGTCGCCCAAGTTCTGAGAAACGTCTCCTCAAGACGATGTCTGGCCAGAGCTTCGAAGGCGCCTAAGAGCTATGCTATGCTGCCGTGGGAACCTGCAGAAGCTATAGCCACTGTGGGGGCCTCTCAGCATCCGAACCACGGAAGCTGGAGCTGATGGCTTCCTCACTCCCTGCTGTGAAATCCTGAGCTGCGCCTTTTTTGGGGGGCTGTCTCCGTCCCTGTGCGCGTGTGCATGTATGTCGTGTGAGCTTGTATGTTTCTGCTCGCCGCAGTCTCCGAGCGTGCACGTGCGCAGGCATGTCGCGTGTATTTTCAACTAATGCATTGAATTTGCATGGCTTTTTGCAGGAGCGACTTCATCACATCGGATCGCTCTCTGCCTGCCCCAAACCTTCCCAATTCGCGTGTTCTGGACAAGGCCACGACCGAATCCCTCCCCGGGCCCGGGCCTGCTCGCTCTTCAGCTTGGCCCGCTCCTCCTGGGAGGTGCAGTCCTGCAGAAACCGTGGACACATCAACACACACACACACACACACGGACACAAACACAAACACACTCACATGCTGTGTACGTATACACTCTTGAAGGCTTAAACACGGATCCGTATATATACTATATATAGATATAGATATCATGTATATGTACACATGGTCCGGCTTCTGGCGTTCCCAGCCCACCCCACCACCCTCCGCCCCCCCCAAAAAAAAACAAAGAAATGGGAGAAACAAGGACTCTCTTGCTAGGACTTCGGGGCTGGGTTTCTGGCTGCCTGTTGTGTTGTTCTTACTTGCTCGAGGCTCACCTCATTCGTTCCCAGTTTCTCGTCTCCTGCTTCGTTTTTCTTCCCCTCAAAATGCTCCACTTCATAATCTCGTTCGTTCGTATCGTAATGTTTTGCCTTCTTTGTTTTTCATGACAACAGTACGATTGCTGCAACATGTTGAGCGAAAATTGAATCATATTACCTCATTCGTTTTATTTTCTCCTCGCCTTATTCGCTATTTTCATTTTTCAGTATTTCCAGTATCTTTACCATATTCGTCTCACCGCTACTAAGGCTTTTCAACAACCTAAAGGCACCTTTGTACAGTCTCATCATCGTTTTTCCTTTGTGGAAAACACCTGTTCTGTTTTCATGATAGCCTATATAGTCTTTTGGATAGTTACATGCGGGAGTCTCCGAAAATACGGGGTACCTTATTTAGGGGTCCTTATAATAAGGATCCTACTATTTAGGGCTTTAGGGTGCTATAATAGGGTCCCCCTGTTTTCGGAAACTGCATTTGCGTTTGCGGGCTCCGAGGGGCTCAGGCCCAGCCTCGGGCCGCGCCGCGAGGATCACGCGGAGGCCGAAGGGCTCCACCGTGGCCAAGCCCTCGGCTCGGGGCGCAGAGAGAGCGGAGGCGCGAAAGAGAGAGAGAGAGGGAGAGATGGAGAGGGAGAGTGTGTGTGTGTGTGTGTGTGTGGGTGTGTGTGTGTGTGAGGTGAGTCTCTGCATGTCTGTGCTGCAGCTGCTTGTTTTCGCGCTGGCGTTTTGCGTCCACGTTGAAGCCCCCCGAGTTCCGAGTCCCTTGCAAGAGTGAGGCCAGCAGCCAAAGCAGCTGACACCATGCACAGCAGCACCGAAGCTATGTCCAGCCTCTGAGGAGCTGTTTTGCCTATGGTTCTCATCGTGGTACCAAGCTGACGAAGCTCTTTCTTTATGCAAGCTGAACACTCAAGGTTTGGGGCAGGTCGGCGACAGACTTCAGTCAGGCCCTCTCGCTTGGTCTCCGGCCAAAGCTCCATGGTAGCCATGCGGCTTTGGGCTTCCTGGCTCATTGCGGGCAAAAAGGCCGGCTTTCAGGCCTTTTTTTCGCCAAGAAGAGCCTTGTCCAAGGGGTTCACGCACCAATAGTCCGACCTCCAGAGAAGAGAGCCGGTGGAGGGTGGCTGGCTCCAAAAATTCAGAGGCCCTTGCAGCCACTGCCCAGAGGCACCACAGGACATGGTGACCTGGCGACTGTGGAACGCGCAGCCCCCTTCCCGGCTTCTCCCGGCTTCTCCCATCTCCCTCCTCTCCAGAACTTGCCGGCCCGCGCCTCCTGCAGCGCACCACCCCAAATGTAGGAGCCGGGCGGACACCTGCAAAAGGGACGCCAGCTGGGAACGGGGTGCCATCACGCCGTACTGCTTGGCTCCTCAAGAAGAGCCTCTGAGTGTTCCTTTAAGCTGGGAGGCATCTCTTGGGTTGTTTTTGGGGTGCCGAATCGCTCCACGCGACTTCCGACATCTTCCGAGACTGCTTCCCGCTATTTTCACTTTGACAAGGTGTCCAAACGTCGGCACCGGTGAATGCAATGGCCCTTCTTCAAGCTTGTAACATCTGCCGGGAGCCCTGTCAGCCGAGAAAGGAAGAAAACGAGGAAACGTCCCCCGAGCTGTCACTACAAGGTTCGCGGATGCTCGAGCAGCTTCCTGCACTCACGTGACACTCACGTGACTCTGTGTTCCAGTCCGCAACTTGCCAAACAAGCAATTTGCAGAGCGGCTTGGACAGGTTAACAGCGCTCCACCTCCATTGAAGGATCACGCAAAGGTTATGAAAATACAACAACCCCCTCAAAGCTTTGTCGTCTGGCAAGCTGCTCCCAAAGCTAAAACCATACTGCCACGACTGTCTCCTCGCCCTGGAACCTGGCCCCCCGGACAGACTCATGACGTTCATGGGCTTCAGCAGCTTTTTGAAGCTTTGCGCAGAAAATCCATTGCGTTCCTTTTCCAGCGTAGAGTCTCAGGCGGCAGTCGGTGAGCACCAGGCGAAAGAGAGGGAGAGAGGGAGAGAGGGAGAGGGAGAGGCAGGACCAGCCTGAGAGTGTACTCGTCGCCGAACTTCGTGCTGCCTGCGGGCGCTGGGCCGAAGGGCTGGGCCGCAGGCGTCCGCAGGCGTCTCCCAGCGTCTCCCAGCGGCCCAGCCTAGCCAAGTGCCCAAGGGATCCGACTTGTTGCCGCAATCCTGGCGTTCGCACCTGAAGCCCACTGCGCGCAGTCGGAGCACTGCATCTCACCGCTGTGGGCTGTCATGCCTCTAGCTGCTAGCTGCTTCCGAGCGGCGTCACACCGTTGTCGAAGAAGCCATCCGTGCACTCGCATCGGTAGATTCCCTCAAACATCGAGTGCAGCTGCGCCAAACTTCAAAAGTTGCATTTTATGAAAGTGCCTTAGCCGAATCATAGCCGGAAGCATTGCCGACAAGGTCGATGCAGACCTCGCAGCGACACAGGCAGATTCGAAGGAGTAAGGCCACGAAGGTCTCAGCCGTCTGCGCCGTAAGCTCCGCATGTCTGGCCATGGCAGACGTCCTTGTGGATGCCCTGCAAAATGAGAATTGCAGACTCGGTTTTTCCATGGCCACTTGCCATTGACCTTCGGGCCGCATACGATCTCTCCATCCAGGTAGTGTCGCGTGTAGAAGCCCTTGGAAGGAATCCAACTCCTAGATACTGGCTTGGGTTTTGTCCTTGGTTTTTTCAGTTTGTTTTGGCATCTTTTTTCCGTTTCGTGTCTGGGGACCTCCTGGCTTCCCTCTCTGTGGAAGGGGTACTGAGCCCTCCCATCGCGGCAAGGTGGGTCCCCGTCGAGAAGGAAAAAAAGACACGAAGTTCTCCGCCACAGCAAGGGGACCAGGGGTCGCTTAGCAAACTTTTGTCGGGGTCACTTAGCACAGTTTTTCGGAGTTTCATCATACGTATCTTAAACACGTTTTCGCTTTTGCCGTAAACAGGCCCACTCATTTGGCAATTCCGGTGCATGTTGCATCTTAGACACGCGCCCTCATTTGGCGATTCCGGCTCATCATTATATCTTGAACTCTTGAACATGCTTCCTCGGTTGAGCGATTCGGATTCGTCGATTCGTCATATATCTTAAACACGCCCCCTCATTTGGCGATTCAGGTTCATCATATTGCTTTAAAGATGCCCGGTCAATTAGCGATTCGAGTTCATCATACATCTTAAACACGCCCCTCATTTGGCGATTCCGGTTCATCATACCCGATTCACCGTATACCTTGACCACACCCAGTGATTTGGCGATTCCGGTTCATCATATAATATATCTTAAACAGGCCCCCTTATGTGACGATTCCGGCTCATCCTATATTTTAAACACGCCCCCTCATTTCGCGATTCGGACTCATCCAACATCTTAACGACGCCCCCTCATTTGGCGATTCCGGAGCACTCCCCTTATGTGGCGATTCCGGTTCACCATATATCTTAAACAAACCCCCTCATTTGGCGATTCCGGTTCATCATACCGGATTCACCATATATCTTAAACAAACCCCGTAATTTTGCGATTCCGCAGCATCTATCGTAGACACGCCCCATCATTTGACGATTCCGGCTCATCATATATCTTAAATAAACACGCCCCCTCATTTCGCGATTCGGACTCATCCGATATATGAAACATGCCCTCATTTGGCGATTCCGGCCCATCATACCGGTCGTACCGGATTCACTGCAGATCTTAAACAGGCCCCGTCATTTTGCGATTCCGGTTCATCGTATATCTTAAACATCCCCCTCATTTGACGACTCCGGTTAATCATAAGTCTTACACATGCCCCCTCGCACTCATCTGGAAATTCCGGTTCATCATACCGGATTCACCGTAAATCTCAACCACGCCACCGTTATTTGGCGATTCCGGTTCATCATATGTCTTACACATGCCCCTTCTTTTCGCGATTCGGGCTCATGCTATATGTAAAACATGCTCCCTTGTTTGGCGACTCCGGTTCATCATGCCGGATTCACCATATATCTTAAGCATGCCCCCTCATTTGGCGATTCCGGTTCATCATACCGGTCATACCGGATTCACCACATATCTTAAACACGCCCCGTCATTCAGCGATTCCGGTTCATCATCATCATCATCATATATATATATATATATATGTATATATTAAAAATACGCCCCTTCATTTTTTGCGGTTCCGGTTCATCATACCGGATTCCCCATATATCTTAAGAATCGTAACACACCCCCTCATTTGCCGATTCCGGCTCATCACATATCTTACACACGCCCCCTCATTTGGCGATTCCGGTTCATCATCGTATCTTAAACATACCCCCTCATTTCGCGATTCGGATTCATCTTATGTCTTAAACACGCCCCCTCATTTGGCGACTTGCTTTCTTGCTTGCTTGCTTGCTTGCTTGCTTGCTTGCTTGCTTGCTTGCTTCCCTTCCCTTCCCTTCCCTTGCCTTCCCTTGCCTT